TGGCTACCGAATTGAATATGAGTCTATTCTATAAGCGTTCGATCTCCTAAATCCACAATATACTTATCTCATCACTTCTCTAAACACATCACAAAACACTACAACAAATTAATGCTAATGTCGGCCCGTGACAATCGGATATTATCTCGAAAAGTCAAACAAGTATCTCTTATGAACACTCAAAATCCGTCCATGAATAGCTGCATTGAACTCTCTTCCCTATCAATTCTTTTTTCTTATGATTTACAATATTTTACTCCCATTTCATACCATCTTTTTCCTTTTTTTTTCCAATTTCTTCCAGCATACCATATTTCCTTTCGCAAAACCTCATATTTCATATTTTAACACAAATCACTATTCTCGATGTTTACTTACTGATATCTTGTTCTTTCAATTTCTCAGCTATAATTATGGTTTAACCAGCCCAAGCGTCACTTGTATCTATCTATTTGTTCTATTCATTAATACTACGCTTAATAAAATCTCAACCCTAACATTCGTTTATCTCTATCCTATGATTCACAGTAATGAACAAAAAGCATCAATAGATGAATTCATAAAGATGACGAGAACGAAACCAATAAAAGAACAAATACACAAAAAAGATACATCTGCACATGCCCACGCAATCAGAAGTGTTATAACGTTTTGAATTCGTAACTGTATGTTGAATGCAGTCTCCCATTCCAGTTCCCACAGCTGATGTTCCACACCTTGACGCTTCACTTCGTCCATTCCCTTCAGCAAACATCAATCAGTTCATCCATTTTTGTCACAACAACAAATAGGAAATGAATTGTGGAACGTTCGTCAAAATTTTGTTATGAAAAGATTATTGTCAATGAGGTATATGACAAGAAGTGAATAATATGTCAAATAATACAATTTTTCCCACCCAAAAAAATGAAAAATATCTATTTTTCAACTATTACATTTCCTTCTGAAACAAGACAAACTAATAAAGACGCAGAACTCTGTTCACCTTCTGCATTTGATCAATTAAGTCTTATTGTCAAAGAGAAATAGCTCATTAGGTGTCTCTCACCTGCATATATGAAAGAAATTTGACGAATGTATAACATCCCTTGAGGAAATTCTCTCGTAGTGGTTGATTCCATTCAGATGCGGTCGGAATACCAGTCAACAAATACCTTAATATCAAAATAAATGCGGTCACTATCGAACCAAATAAAAATTTCACAGTTCCTTCCTTTCTCACTTCAATACGAACAACGCAGCTAAATGAAACATCTCAAGAACAACTCACTTCTGATCAGACATCATATACAGTGCTCTTCGTAATTCATTCGGAAAAGACCTCGCCGAGAAGTCGAAGCGTGTTCGTTCGGGTTCTGAAGAGTATAACTATTTGTTTGAATACTGAGAGAAGATAAGAAGAAGAATGATGCATCATTGTTCAAGTGGAACAAACCTTTCAGATACTTTTTGCAATGATCACTCAACGCATCAAAAATGAACTGCAGTGCACACTCATCCGCTATTAACATTCTCGCTATTGTTGGCACCGTGAACACCTTGAAACATTTCGAACGGTAAATATAACCCTTTCTCATAACTCAATTCAAATGTAAACACATATAATACTTTCAATGCACAATTACTGCATCAACTAACCACCAAACCTTCCATCTCTTGCGTGCTTTCCGATGAATACTGACAATCGCAAAGCAATATTACTCCAAAAAAATAAGATGAAATACAAAAATCGTTCAGCACTAAATAATAAACGATTCGGAAACCTGAACGGTTAATGCCGTCACCGATACAGAATGCTCGTGGTCGTCATCAATGAAGTCGAAATACATTTTCTTGTATAACTGCAAGTAAGCACAACCTTATTCTCTACACCAACACTGTCAATCAGTGAATCGAAACAAAACATATTCATTTGAAACAAAAAAGCTACAAATATACATAAAGAAGAATCAGTCAAAGTGTTCATGTGAACTATTAATGTAAACCCAAGAGAATAAACAACCCCAAGAAGCGTACCCTAATCAGTTGCTTCGAAAACTGTTGTTTTTGATCAATTCTCATCAACACGGTTGCCATTAACATTTGATGGAAATTCGAACGAGCCGCTAAAATATTAATGAAATGCATCATCGACGAATGCATGAAAGCAATTACTTTCTTTCAACAATTACCGCACAACCAATACCAAATAATCAAACTGTCACGNAAAAAAAAGAAAGATCTCACGTTGAAACATCTTCTTTGCAAAGAAACTATTCAAATGAAAGTATTACAGAGTGTTCTTATGTTGACAACTTTTAATATAAATCATCAACAAACAAGAAACAATAAACAGAGATCAGAAAGGCAACATACGGAAGTGTTGTGTTTGAATTGTCAACCAATTCATCAATTTAATGGCAAAATTTTGCATGGCCACTAGACGTGAATCCATAACACGCACCTCCAATGGACCCGACTTTTCCGTTCGACGATTCGTGTCTCTACTTGTGCGACGCTGCAATAACGCACTTTTCATTTCTTCATGAAATATCGTTTGAATTACTCATATGCTACAAATACTTCTTAAAATTTTAAAACTTCTCAAGAAATAATTAAAACTTTCACAAATACTTCTCAACGTCCCAAACCAAAACATTTCACGTCGTCAGATTACTCAAATAACGATCTCCAATTTGTCATGAACTCAAAACATTTGTGTCTGCATTCTTTCTAACTATTCCATAATACAGCCAGATCGAAAGGGGGGACGCATTCATTGTCAGTGAAGCCACCTCAACGCCAATCTATAGCAAGTTGTCGGAGGTTTGATGAGAAGTCAATACTATGAAAAAGGAAAGAAGTTTTTTTGCGACTTTTCTCTCTCATTTCATTTCATAGACCGACTGAGTGTGATCGATTGGCGAATCAGCTGAAACCACACGAAAATCTGCGCAATTCGCCTCACTCCACGCCGCAAACCCACCTGAATTTCATCTTTGGCTCGTGTGCAAAAATCATTCGTACCAGCTCGTACACTGCTGCGTCCCTCACGATCCACTATTGTCGCCAATATCATTGCTTGTTGTTCATTGCAGTGAATCGATAAATTCAGTGCACGAATCACCTTAACAACACCACTTTATTACAACCATTCTGTAAGCAAAAATCAAACACTTTTTTTTCTGTTAAAAAATATGTGAGTCGTCCCCAATAGAAATATGATCACCATCATTATGCTTCAAATGAAACTGCCGACTTCACACGATCTGATAATTACACAGCGGTTTGCAATCAAATCAAAAACACCTTCTTATGTGCTTAATAATAACTGGTTATTTCTCAATTATCACTACACCTACAATCAATTACAAAGAGAATAAATGAGCCATTGCAACGAAATAAGTGATTATTCAATCGATAAGTGATCATTACAATTAAAACTATGATTCGTTTGACGGAACGTTTCATATCCTTGTCTCTTGCGCTGTCAATACAATGATAAATCATCTCAAGAACATATTCATAACTATCTGATATTCGTATTACAAGAATTCAATTTATAATATTCATAAATCATCAACATATTCATAACTATCTGAACCAAGCGCATTGCATTCAGTCATTAAAATTCTTTCACACGACAAAATTAATTTGCAAAAAAATGTCCAGCGAACTGAAAAAAGAAACTAAGTGCATTAGAATGATCAACAGGATTGCACACGTAAAACAATTAATGAAATCGATACTAACCGAATCATAGGTATGCGTCTCATCGTTGTATAATATCGTCTGATAGGGAGGCAGTGCAGGATCAAGATCGAATTGCCTGTAAACCATAGACAACTTGCACAAATATGAATGCAGCAACTATCAATTTCAATATCCTTCATGGATTTTCAAACATTAAAGTTCAAAATTATGAGAGCCAATTTCACGAATCGTTCAATTTGCTAAAATTTTCTGCGGATAATGATACAGTTTTGTTCGAAGATTTTCAGAAAACAAAACCACGAAACAGAATTTATTACACTACGGGAAGTAAACTCAGATCGAAGGAGAGTTTTATATGAAGANAAAGAACATTCTAAAAAAACGCACAATACAAAATCGGGTAGTTCATCAGAGGGTTGCCAACAAATTACGGAAGTTGAATAACGTAAAATGGTTCGCGTTAAGGCTCGTAATCGTTCACAAACATCCTCAGATAACTGACTCGATCTGAACAAAACAACATCTCATTGAAAATGTTTTCAATGATTATACTCCATAAGTAATCACAACAATTCAATTGGCCACAAATCAATCTTAACCAAAATTTTCCGTTAATGAATTCATCGGTGTCGGTTAACTAATGAAAGAGAAAACTTCAAATTTGAATGATATTTCCAACTCGTACTAGATCATTACGAAATTCACGTCAAAAAGGTTGGTATCTAGACTGTCTTCACCGATCACATCAAAGAAGGATTAATAAATGCAATCGCATCATGAACGATTCCTACTTTCGTTCCTCAACGTTTGGCTGAGGTTCTTGGGCGTGTAGTTCACAGGTTGGATCTGTTTTCCACGCTTCCACATCACCACAATCACAGTAACCCGATCCACCCGATTGAGCTATCTCAATACACTCCATCTTGTAAAAGAACATCCAGGTAAACACACTCTCATAATCATATAGCAAAAATAACTGTACTCCATACAGATTGTTTCAGTTTTTGAATGCAAACAACATCAAACAACAACTATGTACTCACTCGGTATTTGTGAAACCTGTGTGCTGATTTCTGGAAACACTGGTGACAAAACACACATGTTGGATCACAAGCGCATTCCCTTAAATTTGTAAATTGAGCATCACATTAACACTGAAAATCTTCTGCTTCCTCTGTTGATCAACTGCAGCTAGGTAAATAAGAAAGAAAAACTAAACATAAAAACTTTCACGGATCAAAGATTTTTCACAGCACCTTTGACCTAGTAGTGCTCAACGCATCTTTCACAGACAAATTTTGTAACGTTTCAAAACAAAATTTCATATTATCACGCAATAACAATTTCCCATTTATTGTACTTATCTGAAGATGAATGTAATGTAAACCAACTCACTTGCATGAATAAGTGGCTTCACCAGCCTTAAAAACATGCCCACAAATATTACTTGACCGACTTTCTGCACCACCAAGACCGCATGATTCCATCAGTGGTTTTAGATCTGAGCCTACATTTTTGTTCAGGCAATATGCAGACGCTACTGGATGCAACAGAACTTCATCTAGAAAAATGGTGATTCATGGCAATTCAAGAAAATTGTTTTCAGCTATATCGAAAGCACATTTATAAAATTAGATTTTTTCTAAACAAAGCATAATTCGATTCGCAAACTGATCATGAAAATGAGTCAATGGAAATGAATGTTTCATTTTTTTCGAAAATCGTCCACACGATTTTACGCTTGGCACAAATAAAATAGCATAAAGTTCACGGTTTTAGAAATAGAATGCTTTTCGTATCACGTGAATATCCAACAAGAGAACTACAGCTTGACAGTTGCCTATTCCTATAATATCTTTCCCGGTCACTGATTATTTGGAATATGACCATATAAAAGTTTAGTCATTCGACTGAATATGACAATCATAAAAGTTCAACGTAATACAATTTTTTGATGTACGAAGAATATTGATGCTGTTTACGAATTTACAAAATAAAATCACAATACAAAAGAATTAAGGAATCAATAGTTGTGTGTTGTTTCACGGCGTACGAATACAACGAAAGGAACGTACTTATTTTTGTTTCATCAACTTTCACATCCCAGGGCATTCCAGGATTTGGTGCAAATATCAGTGGACATTCATGGCTCCATTGTTCATGGAACAGCCGTTCTGCTTCGTGCCAATTCTTCTCTCTAACCACTGATATCAGTTTATCCAGCATATTATTTGAATATCAATCACCTTTAACATAAAACCATTGATGATTTCATCAAGCACCGCTACACATGGAACAACCGACACTGAACATATCGAACAATTTGGAGAAATGAAACCAAAAAATAAATAAATAAATCCAAGCAAAACAGAGCAACAATGCCAATTATTACACAATGTACTCAAACACCCACCCTCCTGAACTGCACAAGTCTCCACATTTTATCTCTTTTCTTGTTCCATTTCATTTTTTTCTTTAGCGAAGGTGTTATTCAGTAAAGCACCCTCATTTCAGAAAAAACATTAACCTATCATAAGAATTTGAAACAATTGCAAACAGTAATAAAATCGGTGGTCATACCGAAAACTAAGAGATCAATCAGAAATTCTGCTTAATTTAAAAACTACATGAAAATACCCTAATAGGAATACAAAATTTCCAGAAGTGAAGGTTCTCATGAAATTTTCTGCTCCCATGCAACTTTCTGCACAAATCCCATTAGTTAAAATAAATCCAAAGAGGGCACCTCCAAACTTGCAAAAATATTTCGAAAGAGACTTCGTTCCAATAGATTCATAAAGTTTCTCAGATGCTTCTCGTACGTTTCGGATGCTGCCAGCACCACTCCGGTAGTCTTCAGAAGCTCGAGAAGATCTCGCACAAATTTCTAACCAAACCACTTACAACATCAACCGCAACTCGGCACGCACGCACTCGTAATAGCTGATCGAAACAGAGATTGTGTTGCTGAAAATATTTTTTGTGTCATAATCAAAGTTCAGCCGTTCGTAACGGATAATTTTTGATGCAAAAATCTCGCAGTTTGACGACTGAGCCAATAAATTTCGCAGATTTCCAATGAGTCATTTTCGACCATCAGAATCTCTTCGAGATAAACCGAGAAAGCAAAACGTTTTCCCAATTTCTCCGAAATGGATGACGGATATTGGCGACGTTGCACGTCGTCGCATTTCGCCATATAAACAGGTTTGAGTGCAGGGGTGGAGTCAGCAAAGAATTGCTTGTTTTCATGGTAAAAGTGTGATTGAGCTTTTGAATCATCAGAGTTTATATGATTTTTATTGCTAGTTTCGGTACTTTTGCTGATGACGGGCGACACCGAGCCGTCACAGATGCTCGCATGCTCGGTGCGTACGCACTTCGCCATATGCGCGTGTCGGCGGAAGGAGGGCGGAGTCACGACCGCGTCGCGCAAGGAGAGATATGCAGGGAACAGCCATTGGAGCAAGTGAGAGACTAGAACGACATTGAAGGAAGTATCGCGCTGAAGTGAGACAAACAGAGAACACTGAGTAGAGCAGATGATATACTTGAACGACATCACAACATTTATTTATCCAGAGAAGAAAACAAAAAATAAGAAAGCAACGAAACAAAATTATGTACAATTATGTATAAAACATAATAATATCAATGATAATGTCAATACAATAATACTATAATACAACACAATACAATGCAATA